ATCACCTCTCGCAAAGCTCTCCGGAGTAGACATCAGCTGCCAGCCGAACTTTGTTTTGAGCACCCAACGCTTCTCTTAGTTTAACACAGAGCACCTGTAGTTACCGTTCAGAAATTACGGAAAGCGCTGTTTTCGAAAACACCTTTTTATATAGAATATGTGTGCCGAGTGTCTTTAGTCTCATTCGACTGACGCTTTTAAGCCGGGGTCCTCGCTGTTTCAACAGAAACGATTGAAGGATAAGTCAATCCTTTCGGAACGCTTTGATTTTTTAGGCGTCTTCTTTGCTCATTCCTAAAAGAGTCCTGGAAGAATTCCTCAGAAGAACCCAGACATCAGTTTATTGTTTAAAGCCAAACACAAAAAATGTGGCTCTTCTTACAATCTTCTCAGCGACTTTCAATATCGTGTCACAATCAAAAATTATGGAGTCGACATATGGCGAAGCTACAGTATCTAGATAGCTAGGTCCGTCCCCAATAACTCGAGTTCAACTTTTAATAAGCATTGCTTTGAGATCCAAGTGGAATGCGATTTTCTTAACATGCGCAATATTCTAACGCTTTGGTAAAGAAAATCGCTCTTACAAAAACTGTGAAAATAAAATTCCAGACTTGCATATCAAACTGGCCGAAGGTGATGATCTGCCTGTTCTCACGAAAAGTTGAAGCCAATAAATTTATCACATAAACTAAAATAAAATTTGAACACAAAAGTAGACAACCTGAAACTCTGTGACACTCACCTCCAACAACTCGAACCAGTCTTCCAAGCCGTTATCGCAGCGCAATAAAATGCGTCCCTCACGACCCAATAGCAAACCGATGGCGCTGTATGAACGCCTATTCAGCCATTCCACCTTTTCCACATCGACCAGCTTCACCTGTAAATGAAGAGAAAAAGCAAAAAAAAAAATGTTCATTAAAACTCAACGCATAAAATATGTTCAGTATTGAAGGGATACAAAAATGCCCTCATGCAACCAACCAGCTAATTTATAAACTTGCAACGCGTTCATGTTGTAAGTTACAACGACCCAACCCACTGCGAACAATAATCATTGTGGGAGTTAAGTTATGACTGCTCTTCCATTCATTCATTCGGTCATATGTATTTACAGACATTTAATAGCTGCGTCGGCCATTACAAACGCGTTCATCTTCATTAAAGTATCCGCAACACGCCACCACTCATTCATTTCGCAAGTTCGCATTTCGTATTTCGCACTTTGGCGTTCGCTTTTTACAAGCTTTTATTGCCTTCTCCTCGAGCACACAGCGCACAACGTTCGCTAGGCACTCACTTATTTTGCTGTTCTTTCAACAACTGTTTGTTGCTTGCCATTTTTTTTTTTTTTTTGCTGCCGAATGCATTTTTGCAATTTTGATTTATTGCTTTGCGCATGCGCAAGCCTAAGTTTTCCCAACTAACTGCACACTATGTTTACACGTACTTGCATACATATCTATGTACTACATGTACAGCAGCATGACTGGCAATAGCATTGCCTCGTACCTGGCGTTTATTGCTTAGAGCGGCGCGGCCTCCTAATTGGAATTGCTGATGAAGTTACGCAGTTTGCAATGTTGTTGCGGCTGTTAATGATTGGGTAATATCTTGGGAAAAGTGCAGATGAAAACAATGCAATGATTTAGAGACTTAGTTGATTGTTGGTCTTTGTTGGAGTTGGCGGAAAATCGCACGAATGCTTAAGACATTTTTTTTTTTTCTAATACATACATAGATACATATATCTATTTCCTGGAAAGACAGTTGTACTCGTAGTTTGGGAAAATTAGCAGACCTAAGCGTTAGAAATTATCATAGAGCAAACGGTCGTTGGTCACGCTGTTGTATTCATGCTTGGTTAGCGCAGAGCTAACCGTTTATTAGGCGAATCAAAATTATGGCATAAAATTTGTTAGAAATGCAGTTATTACTCGTTATATAGACATTCGTGGGAGACTAGAGATATGTATGTTTATACATATGTATGTACATAAATGTGTACTTCATCTGGTGCAAGAGACCTTGTGTGTGGAGTACTACCGTAAAATACGCAAACATTTTCTATACAAATGAAGAAACTGCTTAAAAGTACGAGTACTTAGACCTCGCGAACACAGATAGCTATTATCTAATAGCGTTTTCTTTTCTCGAAATAATGTTACATTTATTTTGCCCTGCGCCAAGGCTGTCTCGTTTTCGTGTGCATATTGCCCGCTATTTCCTTAAAATGTTGAACTCTGATAATGTTGCCATACAAGAAAATGAAATTTGGTTTCGAGAAAAGAAAACGTACTAAACTGCTCAGGAAGCTGGTAGGCGCTGCTGGACAAACGCAGCATACCCTGAAAAGTAAGCTAATCAATTATATTATTGCTGTTGAGCTCACCTATTTTCGTGCTCTATTTTTGTTCTCTCAGCGCTTTTCAGCTCTCAGACTGGCTTTGGTCTCACTTCCGCTATGGGCCCTCTGTGCGCACAAGACCATAAAGTTGTTTCCTTATAAGCTTAGAATCCAGCTCTCAAGTAAAATCACAAGAAATATTTTTCATTATTTTTGTTGCCTGAAAAAGCGCTTTGCTTTCGCTGTAAATTTTCTTGAAAATAAATAAACGAGCATTTTTTTCTTGAGAGCTGCAAACTGATTTACGAAATTGTGATAGAAGAAAATTCTTGCGCTTCATTCTATATGTATGAATTTTACGTTCTTCTTGAGAGCTGAAAACAGCCCTGTAACATTTAAAATTTTTCGTCTGAATTTCTTTTTCTTTTTGGGTGAACCCTGAAATCGCTTTCAACTAGTTTTTATTATTTATTATTTATTAATAGGAACAGTGCAGTGCAGTGTTTTGAACTCGGAACTCGCTGGTGGTAGCAGAGGAAGAGGTAGGCCCCCATTGCGACGGAAAGACCAAGTGAAGAAGGATTTGGCTTCACTTGGCATTTCCAATTGGCGTCAGTTGGCACAGAAGAGGAGCGACAGGCGTGCTTTGTTGAACTCGGCCAAAATCGCTTAGGCGGTTACAGAACTAAAGAAGGCGAAGAAGGAACCAAATAAAAATTAAAAAATCGGGCCTTAGAGGTTTCTTTTAAATTTTGTTATAGTCTAAGATTCGACAAGGGTACGACCTTTACCCATGTGTTTAATGAATGAAATCTGTTAATAAATATTTTGCGAGTGGGTTGGTTAAATATTCCAAAATTCGCTTTAAGATTTTTGATTTTTTTTTTATAGAAGAAAATTTCTTTTCCTTTTATTGTACGTCCTTTTATACATACACTGCTGGCAAAAAGTATTGACAGTTCATTTTTCACAATATACGCAACAATTTTTTTCTGATATTTTTCCGCCAATTTTTCATAAAAATATGGTTCATTCTACAACAAAAAACATAAAAATATAATTTGTGCAAAACTCCCGAAAATTCAGCAAATTTTCATGCAAATTTTCAACATTTTAAACACGAGTTTGTATGCCGATTTGTAGCACAAACAATTTTATTATAATAAAGTACAAACAAGCTACTTAAGCTAGGAATAACTGTTGATTTATGGCAATTTTTTTGCGCAGTCTCTTCCATACAAAAAAAATTTCGAAAATACTTTATATGGGAAAAATGGAAAGCAGCTTCAACAAATAAATTCTCAAAAATTAGTACGATTAGTACTCCGAGCTGGCAGGTTTTTCTATAAGAATTTAATGGGCTGCAAAACTGCATACTCCAAAAAATTCTAGAAAATCTAATTAAAAAGTTGAAAGTATGCATAAAAAATTTGCTGACTTTTCGGGAGTTTTACACACATTTTATGAATTACATTTTTATGTTTTTGTTGTATAATGAGCCATATTTTTATAAAAAATTGGCAGAAAAATATTAGAAAAAAATGTATGCATAAATATATTGTGAAAATGTTTCTGTGCCAATACTTTTTGCCGGTAGTGTACATACATATGTACATATCAGCGAAGCCACCTCGTGTGAAATTCCCCGATTTGATTCCAGAGATAACCGATATGAGAATTTCAGTTTGTATGGGAAGTGGCACGCCCACTTTTCCCGTACCTACCATTTTTCACAGTAAGTAGGGTATTTACAATCTATGTATCTGTGCTAAGCTTAAGTTCCCCAGCGTAATTGATTTTAGAGATATAGTGGTTTTCACATTTTAGTCTATATGTCAGATACCACGCCCCCAATATATCGGGATTAACATTTCTGGAAGTTATATCCTCTAAACCGGTGTATGTTTCATTGAAATCGAGCGAACGGTGCCTTCAAAAAAGGGATTGCAAAATTTTCTTGTGACGTATTTATATATAGATGAGTTGGCTACCCTGGTACATACATATGTATGATTTTTTCGTTTTTCTTGAGAGCTGGAAACAGCCCTTTATATTAAATTTGTACAGTGCACTAACAATTTTATCACATAACTTTAGACCGATTTTCTATTAACTAACAGTGGAAGCCGCTGTGGTGTAGTGGTAAGCAGTGTATTTCTGCCATGAAAAACAGCTTCTCATAAAAATACAATCGCCGTTCGGAGTCGGCGTAAAACTGTAAGTCCCTCCGCTTTGTGTGACAACATCAAGGCGCACGCCACAAATCGGAGGATAAGCTCGGCCAAACATTAATATATGTGTAAGGGCCAATCTATTATTATTATTATAACAGTGGAAGCCCCGTTATTGTAGGTAGCTGAGGTAGAGGTTCCCCCAGATTTTTCAGTTGGGATAGAGTTATTGGGCTGGTACAGCTAAGAAGACATTGATCTGGCATCTGGCATATCTTTAATGATGTGGAGCCTGAAGGGCAGGCTTGAAAAGTACATTAAATTAAATGCCGCTTTGACGGTGGCCAGGAGAAATGGAGTGGAGGAAACCATCTAAGAGGAATACACTCCATGTTATCTAGAAGATTACTGACTGTGAGGTAGGAATATGCTCTTTGTACTGTGGCAGAGGTACCTCTTACCACTATTGAGGTGTTTGGTCGTGGACTGCTTATTAACGGAAATGCAAGACTGACTTGGAAAACTCTCGTTGAGTTGAAGACATACGAGCGCTAAATATTTTCGGAAAATTTGACGGAGGCACGGGTAGAGTCACCTTCAAAACAATTAACTCTTTCTTTAATGGGCAGCAAAGGAGTGTGTCTATAGGAACACAAATACAATACAAGCGCTATGACTACAATGCACAGGAGTATCTATTAAGGTATTGTTGGATTTACCACCTCTGGATTTAGCGATCGGAGAGGAGGCAATGAGGACGATATGAGCACTGAAGGTGTTTGAATTGAGGCGCGACGATCAGATTTCTGGGCACAGAGAGTTATTCAAAATTAAAAAGTGATAAATGCAGCCCTTTAGATTTCCCCCTGGGGAGCAATGGAGCGATAAGTAAAAACTTTTCATACCGACGGCTTTAATACTGAAAATGGAACAGGAGCTGAATACCATTTCGAGGGAAGTAAGTTGAAACTTAACTCCGTTACAAAATGGAGCAGACTTGAACTCTTGTAATTACTGAGATACTGTGTATGTTCAGGGCAATGAACTGTCTGAACTACGGGTCTTTGGAGTATCCAATGGGACCAGAGCCAATTCTAGGTCGACGTATATTGGAAATTGACAGCTGTTAAAGCAAAATTTACACCTGCAAAACAATCGAGTGTTTTCTAAAAAGACCTAACAGGGTGGTAGCGGAATTCTTTCTCAGACAAATTGGAAGGAAGCTACGAGCTTTCATTGAACTTAATCAGCGACATGGTCATCATAGATACCCTCAACGATCCACTGTATACGTACCCTTTGGAAGGTGAGGATAGTACGGAGCATTTTATTTGCAGATTTACTGCCTTTGCTAAACTAAAA